CATTATAAATAAAAATTGTAAATTTACCAAATGTCTGAAAAATAAAAAATAAAAAACCTAAAGACTAACTTCACTTCTAAAGAATTAGAGATCCATAAATGATCACCAAACCCATTTGGGAATATGCTATTTTTGGTAACTATATTGATTTTTTACGAAAACGCGTGCAAAAAAGCAAAGAAAGTAAACGTGATAGGATGTTTTATTTTATTAACTATTATAACCTACGACGAGCAGTCCATCCCAGACAAGCCTGTATTTTGACTTATTTCTACCTTAGAGTGACCGTATTAGCAAAATCTACTATAACTATAGTATTGTAAACTAAGCACAAAATCACTATATTAAAACAGAAACCACATTAATACAATATTATCTGAGAAAACAATCCAAATAAAGGACCCATGTTTTGGTTATAAATCAATTCATATGCCACATGCAGCGCACGTGCACCCCCCAACTGGTATAATGAAAACTAAGAGTAACATTCACATAGATTCCAAGACTTTTCACGAACCAGCAACATTTTCACATTCAATTGAAAAATTAAAAACTCAGTAAGTTTGCGAAACGTAATGTGATATACCATCACAAGAAAGTTTACAATAAACAATCTAACTCCAAATTCAATAATATTTAACTAAAACTAAGAGTAACATTCACATAGATTCCAAGACTTTCCATGAACCACAACACATTTTTACATTCAATTAAAAAATTAAAACCCAGTATGTTTGCGAACCGTAATGTGACACGTATGTACACACTAAATACAATGTCACAACACAAATTAAATATAACCGAATGTAATGCACACAAAACATGACAACATTGCAAATGTGGGTTAACATTACAACCAAAAATTAAACGTCATTGGAAGCGAATGAGAGTGTGCCAATGGATGGCTGTAACAGTTTGCATAAACCAGCAACATTTTTACATTCAAATAAAAATTAAAAACCTGTTACTTTTGTGAAACGTAATGTTGATACGTATATAAACACTGAATACAATAACGTCACAATACAAATTCAAAGACAATACAACCGAACGTAACACACACAAGACATAACAACATTGTAAGATGTAGTTAACATTTCAACCTAAATGTAACGTCAATGGAGGCACTGAAATTGGGCCAAATGGATGGCTGTAAACAGATTGTGAAAGCCATATCAGATAAGATGACATTGAAAAACGAACAATCGACAAACACACAACAACAACACTCACCAATTGCAGAAGCAAAGAATCTTACCTCCTTCCCTCAAACACTTGGAGTCAAAATCGGCAAAAAACAAACAACAAAGCACCCAACCTTAACAACGGAATTACCTATATCTACATCCAAACCAACAACATTTTCAAAATCCACTGGAATCCACGATCAATGCGACTTTTACGCCCACAAACGAAGCCTAAAAATCCACTTTCCTAAAATTTCTCCAAAAACTTAATAGGCTGAATGATAGAATAACCTATAATAACATATAAAGGGTATAATAGTATACTAATACTATTTTACTCACAACTCATATGACCTTATGCAACACATTTTAGGAATGATTTGTCCCCCGAAATTTCTTCCTCCCGAATACCCCTAATGGCCAAAACGACGTCGTTTTGGCCTTTTTTTTTTTTTTTTTTTTTTCATTTCGACCTGCAACGCAGAAGAGGGAAAGGGAGAGAAAGAGAGAACAAGAGAGAGAGAGAACAAGAGGGAAAGAGATCGTCGCCCAGCCCGTCGCCGCCGATCGCCCAGCCCATCGTCGCCGTCGCCCAGCCCATTCGCCCAGCCCATCGCCCAGGTCCGATCGTTGCAGCAAGCAAACCCGTTGTAACAACCCTCATACTGTTTACCGATTAATGACTGATTGATTGCCGATAACCATCGATTACCGTTAAACTGAATTGATCATGACTGATAATGGAACTGATTAGAAGTACTGAACTGACTGACCGAAATTAAAACTGAATGGAATGAATACATCTGTTTGAATTGCATTTTATCTGTTGGCTGTTTGTTGATCTGTTCATGCTTATATGTTTAAACTGCTAATTAAAGGCCTTATCGGCGGCGAATCCGGAATCCACAATTAATGTGATTTTATGGTGTATTTACCTGAAAACTGATTAGGTATGATTAAATTAGATTAAAATAAGCTAATATAAAGAGTTGGACTTAATTACCATTTTGCCACCCTTAGTGGCCCACTCAATATAACATATTTGAGCCTCATAATACACTTAGGCAACATTTTGCTCAGCCATTTTCTTGCTCTAGCCGACCAAGAGAGGGAGAGAGTGAGAAACTTGGAATTTATCTTGAAGAATTGCTTGGATTGAAGTGTAGATTTCACATTTGAGCCCCTAAACCTTGAATACAAACTAAGTAGGAAACTCACCTTACTTATTGTTGCCATTGAGCTAGTTCTTGCATGAGTCATGCTTCATTGTAGAACTAAGTCATATTTTGGCTCATTGTTGTTGATTTGAAGCTCATTTCATGCAGCATGTTTGTATTGTAGAAGTTTTGAGTTGTTTTCATGAAAGGTTACATGCATGTTCATAATCATGTTTAAGTCCATGATTTCACCATGTTTTGAAAAGAATTGGCTCCTTTAGAGCATCAAATTGAAGCTTTGAAATGATTTGAATTCATGCATGTTTTGCATGTCATGTTTGAGGATTGTTCTTGAAAATGGTTTGAAATTGGGTTTGAATTAAAAAACCCTTGGGCTTTGATTTCTCAAATTGAGCTTTGAACTATGATATTCTATATGTTTATAAGAGTTTTCCAGAAAATGAGCCCAAGAGGATCGGTTTTGAGTGTTAACAACTTGGTTTTGAGCTTGGAGGTGCAATCTGGGTTTTCCAGATTTCGCACTTCCGCTCGAGCGGGGGAAGTGCCGCTCGAGCGTGGAATTCGAGCATCCAGCATATCTCTGCACTGTTTTACAGTCCGCTCGAGCGGAGGATTGGGCGCTCGAGCGGAGTCATGTCTCAAGCTCGAGCGGGCGTCGAGCGGAGATTTCACCCATCCAGTACTTTTACAGTACGCTCGAGCGGAAAGTTGACGCTCGAGCATGAACCTTTTTGCATGACCGCTCGAGCGGGGAAAACTGCGCTCGAGCGGGACTCTGTTTTTCTGAAAATGCTTTTAAATGTACATCTGTGCATCCTCATCTCATTCTAGGCATTCTTAGGCCTAGTTTAAGACATCTTATTGAGGATATAGATGTAGAACACACCGAGGCATTAGGGATTAAGTTGTTATCTTTCTCAACTGTGTAGCTTAGTGTGTTTCAATCTGTTAACTGTGTAGGTTGGCGACTGGGGAGACACGCTCTAGCCTACTGTAGCCCAAAACTTTGTGAGTAACAATTGTGTAAAGATATGTTCAACTGATTATCTTCTGAATACTGAAACTGAACTGTTTACTGAACTGATTATTGTTTACTGAATGAATTGTATGTCCTATATTCTGAACTGTACTGTGGCATCCTTAGCAAACTACGTTACTGTTACTTTTACAGAGATCTCTGTCGGTTCCCTCGTGGAACCACTACTGTTTACTGACTGATGGCCATCATTACTGTTCGGCTCTTTAAGACCTACTGTTTACTGCTATGCTAATGGATGTACACATATATGACTGAATAACTGTTCTGACCGAAAGACTGAAGTATTGTTTAATGAACTGATTTCATTACTGTTGAGGACATTCATTCTTAACCCCTTTACGCATTATGTTTATTCACTGGGTTTTTAGCTCACTGTTTATATATATATGTAGGTGCTCAGCCACCAGACCGGAGCTAGGAGCATGGGTTAGACTCCAGTTTTGTCAAGCCAGCCTTTGTGCCTCACTGCGAGGTTCTGAGCCTAACGTGTTAGGGCTTAGGGGTGTTTTACAATTCCCCCTTCTGTACTGTCTTACTGTTCTGTATAGACCGAGTGTTTACCGTACTGTTATCTAGGGTTGAGTCCCTAGTCTGAATGATCGTAAATATTGTGCATACCGTTCTGTACTGGTTACGTATAAATGTATGAAAAATCTTTTCATATAGACTGTCGCAGCTCATTGGGCATTGTTTATTTACTGTTTTGGCTTATGCCAGGCCCTGTACTCTGTTTTACTGTATTACTGTCCTGCAGGCCTTCGGTAATCTCGCCCCTAATGCCCAAAACGACGTCGTTTTGGGCATTATTTTTTTTTTTTTTCTTCTTCGTCGAGTCTGAGCAGAGGGAGAGTGAGTGAGAGGGAGAGAGGAGGAGAGGATCGTCTGCTCACCACCGCCGTCGCCTCCGGCCCCGCCTCCGAGCTCCGCCGTCGCCTCCGGCCCGCCTCCGCCTCCTCCCACTGTTATGACCCCCTCCAGTCCACTCCTCCTTCTCCTCCTCCTCCTTCCTCCTTCCTCCTCCTTCCTTCTCTTCTCCTTCTCTGCTTCTGAAAAAAAAAAAAAAATTAGGGGGATTCGGGGACGAGCTCCCTAGCACGATCCCACATTTTAATCTAAATCGAACTTAAAACTCTATAAAAAAATTACACAGAACTTTACATTAAATAAGTCTTTCTAATAGGACTTGTAAATAATTTTTCCAAATCTTAACAATTGATGTTGGTTTAAAAATTTGCCTCCGTTTGGAAAGTAGGTTGACTTTTTGACTTTTTAATTTTTTTAACTTTTTTTATGAGAGAAGAATGTAATAATTATAAGTTAGATGTAATATTTTATTTATTGTGATTAAAATAATCTATTTCATATTTTGTGACTAAAATAACTCCAAACTTCCTCGCCAAACGGAGTCCTCAAACTTTATGGTTTATATGGTGTGCAAATAGAATTTGCTTAGAAAACTCTCTCTCTCTCTCTCTCTCTCTCTCCTGTAACTGGTGATACGATCTCTCCGCCATGGCATCATCGACTTTGAGCACACAAACATATACATATATTCCCTATTTCTCTCTCTCTAGATTCTCACTCCTCATATAGTCTCTCTCTCTCCAAATCTGAGCCCCGGCTCTCTCCCTCTCTCTCTCAATGGATGAGGAATTGCAGAAGCGAAACACCGACTGCGTCTACTTCTTGGCCTCTCCTCTCACCTGCAAGAAGGTTCGTACCACGCTCCGCCATTGCAAAGCTTCTGCGAAACTGAGTTTTTTTGTTTCAATGTTGCGAAACTGATTCGATTCTTTGAGTTCTGTTGCGGCAAATGTGTTTGTTGTTTGTTTATTCACCAATGGTCTAGGGTTTTTGCTTTGCTTGCCATTACACGAATGGTTTACCGTTTTCGGACTTCGTTTTTCTGATTCTCTCGTATTTGTTTTTGGATTTTGTTTGCTGATCATCAAATTGAGATTTTGCAAAAATGTAGGTTTTTTTAGCTTTCTCATTTTTTTCTTCTTCTCCTGATTAATGCGCTTAAATTGTTTGAGTTAGTATCAAATGTTCATGATCCATGTACTCGGAAGAAACAAAGTCTACAATGTTTGGTACCAATATACGTGTATTTATGTCTACATAATCTCTCTACGAGTGTGTATGTGGATTTTAGTGGGGAATATCAGATAAATAGGAAATGGGAAAACTAATTGCAAATCAATGTAGTGCTAGTCAGACTATCCATTTCCAATTTATCTGTTACTTCTGAAGATTTTAACTTCTTATTTTTCCTATGTAGATTTTTTTGTATATATGGTGTGTGTGCGTTTTTGGGGTGATATATTGAATTAAATATGCTCATCCATGCTCTTGCATTTTTGGTTTTGTGCATTACTCCTTTTGAATGTGACGAGCTGGCATAGGGGTTTGTGAAGGGCAAGTTGTGAGTTTTACAAGTGAAATACTTTTTCCTTTTGCAGGGGATTGAATGTGAGTATCGACACAGTGAGATTGCGAGGCTCAACCCTAGAGATTGTTGGTACTGGTTGGCAGGGAGCTGTCTTAATCCCTCTTGTGCTTTTCGACATCCTGTAAGCTCTTATTACCTTTGGATTGCACTGTTCTCTATAACAGTTGATTTGGATTCTTTGGAATTCATTAATTACTTGCCTTGGAAACCTTTTCCCCCTTAATATGAGTCACTTGTCTTTATTTTTTGCTGTATCATGTGTAAATTTAATTGCTTATGGATCCATTGGCTGGTTGCATGAATCTTGACTTCTTGTGGGGTTTCATGTCTTTGAATGTATACAATATCACCATGAAAATCTTAAGTTCAGGGCTTTCGTTTTGTACAACTTGGATATCAGGGATATATGTCTGAAATGCACTTGGATTTTCATGATATCAAGGGGTGTTGGGATTTGATTATTTATTAAGTTGTTAGAAAATCCAGAAACTTTTGACGATGCCTATTATTTGTATGCACTAGTTATATGATGTTATATGGTCAATATGACTATATTATATCAATCTATATGAGTATAGGGCTTTTGTGAAACATAGTGCTCTCCTCAAATACCAAGAAGCAGTGATGGTTTTTCAATCTAGACTGTTAGGAGTGATGGATTTGGTATGTCATGTCTTTCGCCTATACTTGCTCATAGTGACTACATCCACACTCAACCTACATTTTCATGCTTGATAGACCCTTTTACAGTTGCAGCAAGCTATAAAGGACTTTGACATGGGTGTAGAGCTATTCCTTCTTTATTTTATTTAATAATATAGACTATTAGTTGCTATGAAGGGCATTGACATGTGTATTAGATATTCATCATTGAAAAGAGGGATCTAACATCTGAAATGAAAGCTTATGAACTGTGATGTTGTTGTTGATGTCTCACTAGCCTTCGACATGACTTTGTCAGAGAACATTGTAGCAGGAGTTTTGTTGTTGTATATTATTTACAAGTTAAATGTTATATTTAGTAGATTCTATGCTTACAGGGTTGCTGTTTGTTTGAAAAAACATACAAACTAAAATACTCTTAGGGGTTGAGTCTTATTCATGATCTTGGGTTGATTTTGGGACCTCAATTGACATTTTAACCTGGTATTCATATCAATATTTTGAAGCCCAATTATAACCATAAAGGAGGTCCACTTGGTAGACTCTTGTGGGGGAAAAAAAAACATGATTGGAAGATCTTATTCTAAAATCAATGTATATATGTTTTTCCAAACCCATACAAATCTGTTTTGAACCTGTTCATTCAGCTAGCCAAAAGAATATACTTGATATGGTTCAAGATGTGACCACTTTGTACTAGAAAGCAAAATTGTAGACTCACTACATGCCTGTATTTGTTTGAGCTATACAGTTCTCTATTTTTGTGTCGTTGATCAGCTGGAGAGCTAGTTAGCAGTTACACTCTAGTTTCTTCCTTGGTTAGCAAGTTTAACCTTTATCTTTTGAAATCTTGTAATGAACATTTAAGTCGGATTCCAGTGTTGTTCGTTTAGTATGCTGGTTAGAAGACAGGTTTGCAAGTTTTGTGCAGCTGGGTGTCAGGGCGTGTGTTTCCCTTTTTTTTTTGGGATTCTTGATTTTTGTATTCTTTAGCATCTTCTTGATGCTCTTTCTTCAATAAATTTATTTATCAATAAATAAATGAATAAATAAATAAGTTGGATTCTAGTGTTACATGGCAGGGTAGAGTTTGCTCGGTAATTTAGATTTGTGGAGTGGAGCACTGCAAGCATGTTTGGTATGATGGAATGGGCTGTAATGGAATGCTTATTCTAGTTTTGCATTCCTTTTCCATGTTTGCTACACCTTTAGAACACATTTGGTATGATGTAATGGGCTGGAATGGAATGTCCATTCTAGCTTTATATTCCCTTTTCCTCGTTTTGTATGTTTTATTTAAGTGAGAATAATTGTTACATGAGAATGACTATTCCAACAAAAAGTAAGAATACCTATTTCATGTGGGAAGCTAACTTAGCTATTCTATTTCAACATGGAATCATCATAAAATAAAACAACAAACTCTTTCGATAAATATAAAAAACAAAAAATGATTGCTTTAAGGGGAAATTTTTTTTTTCTTCATAAAATAAAACAACAAACTCTTTCGATAAATATAAAAAACAAAAAATGATTGCTTTAAGGGGAAATTTTTTTTTTCTTCTCTCACAATCTCTCTCTACAAATACTCTCACCTACTAAACAATCTGCCATAGACAACTCCATCATTGTTCTTCAATCAAGTTCAATGAATTTTTTTTTTTTTTTTACTTGTTGGGCATTTTTTTTTTACATTAATGTTTAATGTTTTTGTATTTTTTGTTAAGTAAAAATCATAATTTTATCTGTTTTATTATTTTATATAAAAATAATTTAACAATTCCCACACTAACAACTATCATCAAAACAAATATATAATTTTACTAATCCTCTCACTAACAATCCCACATACACAACTTTTTGTTTTCTCTTTTTCCATGTGAACTAATTTGAAAAATTAATTTTTATTTCGTAGATAAACACTGCACAAGTGATTGTTATTTGTTGTCGGTAGATAAAAAATTTGTGCTTAGATTTTATTAACTCGTGAAGTAGACATTTGGTTATGGATGTTTTAATGTTTTTGTTCCATTACTATGGTATTCATATATTTCTAGCATAATTATACATTTTAAGATTAATGAATATTTTTATTATGATTGTGGTATTATTGTTTTTTCATATTGATGAAATTTTTATAATTTTTATTCAATTTTTAAATTTAATATGGTTATACAATATTTAATCTGATAGTTATTAGTTTGGTAAAAATTCTATTCCATTCAATTTGCTTAACAAACCAAACATGGGAATGGGAATGGGAATGGTCATTCCATTCCCACATCATTTTACAATGTCAACCAAACAATGGAATGAGAATGATCATTCCATTCTATTCCATTCTACTATGTATTCCATTCCCACTATTATTCCATTAACACTTCATTTCATTTCATTTTATCGTACCAAACATGCTCTTAGTAAGTGGGAATAGCCATTCAAAAAAAAGTGGGATATCTATTCCTTCTTCCAAGTTAAGGAATAGGCATCTCATTCCATCATGGAGTTATCCTATGACACGTCCATGTCTGTTGGCTACTACCACCACCACCCTACCACTGCCACCATCACCCCCTTCCACCACCTTACCATCGCCATCGCCATTGCCACCCCTTTCCACCACCCTACCATCAACGCTGCCACCGCCACCCTACCACTGTTACAACTACCATCCTGCTACCACCACCACCTACCACCTCCACCATACTACCGCTACCACAACACAACCACTACCCTACCTACCACCATCACCACTACAACCTTCACCATCCTATTGCGATTGCCATAAACATCCTACCACCACCATTGCCACAACCATCATACCACCATTAGTACCATCACTACAAGTACCACCCTAGCTACCACCACTAGCAGCAATACCTTACTACCACTGTCATCCTACCACCACCTCCGATGCTTATTTAGTGCACTTTTTGACTTTTTATGAAAAGATGTATAGAAAAGTAGAGAGATGATGTAACCAAAATAAGTGAACTTATTTAGATCATTCCGAAACAACCCCTTAGAGAAATTCTACTGTAGTATAGTAAGGTAACATTTTGCTGCTATCTTTGTAAAATGAATGTTTTGAAACTTTCCATTCTCCAGAGCTTCACTCTTTCATAGGGAAATTTAAGGTTCACATATCACCTCGTATCTGCTTCCAAGTTATTTTTCAAAGGCTTTTCAGAGTACTTATCTTGAGTTTGTTGCATGGCATTATGGTGAATTTTAGGGATGCCTGAAGGAAATTGCAATGTGAGTAGAAGAATTGGAAATTATTTGGTGGGCACAACCAGGCCTATTTTGGGAGGTCCAGATGCCATCCTTTAAATTTTTGTTAGAGCATGGAAATGACAGGAGGATGGATGTAGGGGAAGTGGGATCATGATTTCTCATGTCAAATTTTAGGCAGAATCCAAGATTTATGTAAGATCTTGATCTCAATTGGCTGATCAGTATGGCTTGGGAAAATGGGACTTGAAATCTCAGCATGTTGTAGGCAAGACAATTGAATCCTTCTAATCTAAGTCAGTGTCGATGCTCTGGCATTTTAGTTGGCTTTCCAAGTTGATTTACTTTCTCTGGTTGTCTTGATCCTTGAAACGTTTACTGATCATCTCCCTTGTATTTGTATGTTAGTAAATCTAAATTGTTTGTGTGATGTTTATTTTTTTGTCTGGTAATCATTCCTCAGTTATTGGAGAATGCATCTGATTCTCTTCTTTCTTCTTTTACAGCCATTAGATGCACATACTGAGGTGTCATCTGAATCTGCTCCTCCACAAAATCGGTGCTCTGCACCTGTGAACAAGGTCAATGTTCCCTGTTATTTTTATTTCAATGGGTTTTGCAATAAAGGTGATGGATGCTCTTTCCTTCATGGACCTGATGATGGTATACCTGCTTGGAAATCCTCAAGGACAGATACTGCAGTCAGTGATGCACCTCCCTTGGAAAATAAGATGTCTGCTGGAAGTGATACAGGAACTGCACCAATAGAGACGCGTTGTAATCCATCAGAAGCTGCTCCTACGAGAGCTGTGGAAATACAGATTGAGCCTAAAGAGGATGTCCACCTACCAGCTCTTGGTAATATCAAGGATCAAAGTGCTTCTCCTCATTTATCAGCATCTGAGTGCGAAGAAGCTGCAGCAGTTAGGTCAGAAACTCTGATTCTAGGGAAGGGTTTAATTCAAAGCAGATCTCTTGTATGCACTGATCAGAGTTCAGACGAGCAAGTGGATGATTATATTGAGCAAGAGGACTGGTTAGAATCATCTCCGGGTTTTGATGTTCTTGTAGATAATAGATCAGAGAACTTGGGATATGAAGAAGATCCAGAGTACTTAATAGCCATTGATAGGGATGGCAGGGAGCTCAATGGTCATTTCTTAGGTTATGATTATGAAGACCCTGTCGAGTATGATCCTGCATACCCTGATGCAGGAATTTTGGACGAACATGAGAGGCTTGATTCTTCTGATCAATTTGATAATGAGCAGAGATTCGACTACATCAGAAAAGTTCCTGGGTGCTCAAGGGAGAAAATGTTGGATCCTGTTTTACCACGGAAGAGGAAATTCTTGCCTGTGGATATGGCAATTGATGGTCGGAGAGGTATGGATCTCCGAGACCACCTTAGGAAACGCAGGGTCATCAATGGTCGTCAAGTGACCAGTTTCTCAAGAAGGAATAACTCTTCTCGTCAGGTTGATCAAAGCCAGGAAAGGTCTCGACGACGTGGTACACAGTGGCTGCATGGAAGATTGATTACGGAAGAGAATAGTAATGGGCATAGATCACACGGCAAGAACGGAACTCTGTTAAACAGCATCAACCCCCAGAGCTGGTTTAGACAATCACGTTCAAACAAGGTTGGGCAGCATTATAAGGAAAAAAGGCAGCCTAAACAGCAGTTTCATTCATCTGAAGTCTCAAGGAATACGGTTTCAAAGAAGAAGAGATCTGCTGAGGAATCTGATATGTTTACCGGGCCTAAGACCCTAGCTCAAATCAAAGAAGAAAAGAGAAAAGCCACAGGAAATGGCGATTCTTCTGGGAAGCTGGGGCATTCAAGCAGAGCTATATCAGAAGAGTTTCAGGGTCCTAAACCTTTGAGTGAAATCCTCAAGGACAAAAGGAAGCTGCGTTCAATAATTGATGCCAATAATGATAGCAGCTAAACTGCTATATTATGAATCATTTGGGCCAACAATGTGAGCAGTTTTCCAATGATGATGACGGACAATTGATTTAACAAGCAGCCTAATAGCTTGTGCTTGAGATCTTTTCTGTTCTTGTGTGCGGGGATCTTGTTATTTCTTTTATAAGAACAATTTTGTTTGTTTTTTAGGTTGCTAGACAGCCTCTCTGCATGTGGGGTAAGGCTGCATAGAACTAATTGTCCCCAGACCCTGCAATGGCGAGAGTCTCATGCATTGGAACTGTCTATTTTTTGCATGCATAGCGATGGGGGCCCTTTCAAAATGTCACCAGAACCTGGAACCTTTCAAGGTCTGTTTCTTGCGTCGGAATATCCTAATTACTAATGAGAAATGTAATCTAGTGCAGGCTATTTGTTGTCTTCTACATATATAGGTTTGAGTTAGGGACTTGATACCATCATTGTTGTGATCAAGTCATGGAGCTTCTTGTCTTCCTGTGTACATAGCTGGTCATTAATAGTTAACAATTTGGTTGGTTGGTGCATTTGCATACCTCCAAAGGGTTACTTTTTTATGCATGGCAGTGATTATGTTCACTAGGTCTCATCTTATTATGTTGAGTATTCTTTCCTTGACCATCATATATTGTTGCCTTGTTGGTCAATGATTTGCTGGAATGTGCTATTAGAGTTTCTTTCTACTTCTGCAGATGATTTGGTAATGTATTGTAGTGCAGGGTAGGCTAGGCTAACTCTAATGGCTCTTTAATATGTTGAAATTTTCCATAATTATTTATTTATTTATTATTGGATTAGCCATGGAACCTATTCCATATGGCCTCAACATCTGGTTTTATTTAAACAGTCAAGGAAAAGAAAAGATTATTGCTTATCGAAAAGAAAGAAAAGAAAGAAAGAAAGAAATGATATGCACTCTTTTTAGCATCTCACACTGAATATTAATTTATTATTATTGTTATTTTTTTTTTGGGGTCATCTTATATTTTTTTATTGAAAGAATAGCAAGTGTCAGCATGGTGTTGGGAGGTAGTAGGTACACAGTATTTTATTTTTGTTTTGTAGAGACTAATTCTTGTGACTCAAAGCCTGCTTGACAAAACCTGCCACTGGAGTCATGACGCACCCAAGTGCAATTGCACTTTCTAACCCTAGGCCTTGGCCTTGGCCTGGAAGTTTAGCTCCCACTCGATTCCTCATGCTGCTCAACCTTTTTGATGCCATTGAGGAAGCCTCCAATTTCCCAAGACTTATTCAGTGCTAATAGAGAGTCTAATTTTATTCTTCTCACATCGTTTACTTTTTGCCCAAGGGTAAGCACTTGACTAAAAGGTAGGTTAGTGCACGAGTTAAAATATGGTTTCCAAAGAACAAAATGTACACAAGTTGTCTATTTGTTTATATATATATTGGTAATTATAGATATGTACATATTGTTTATATAATACATTGGTAAGTAGCTTTCTGACAGTGATGACCAGATCACGCCAGTTAGCCAATATACCAAGAATTTGTCAAATCCAAAGCATGGATACTCATTTTTCGCATGGGAACAATAAACATAAGGGAAAGACTATGGTATATACTAATGTACTATATACATTTTATAATTAAAGAATAAAATAATATAATTTCATATTTTCTGAGTTATAATTAAATAGTATATGAGGCATAATTAAAAATCTTATAAGTCATAGTTAACATAATATCATAATTAAAGAAGAAAATTGATCATAATGAAAAAAAAATGACATAGTTAGAGGTGCATACAGTATATTTTTTTCTAAGGTGTGTATATTAACATTTCCCTAAACGTAATCAATTATTAGGTTTAAAAAAAAAAATACTGTTTTTGTTTGATTGTCTCTCATTTGTTACATCTTTTGAAATTCACAAATGACTCCTATATTTTGTCTCTATGATTGTATTACCCCAAAAGTTTTATTATAGGTCCATCTATATAGGAGTGTTGTAATTAAAAAGATGGAAAAACCTCATTTACTCCCTATGATTTACTTTTACTTTTGTTTCATTTGTGATCTGAAAATAAGTACATAACTCTTTTTGATTTGTGAATCATCCAAATTAACAAGAAGTTTGAAATTCATATCGGGATATAATGAAATTATGTGTTCATATCCAAATATCAAGGAATAAACCACATTTGGAGGAGGGATTAAAGTGCATTTTAAATGTTAAATGAATGGCAAAAACGGTTTTAGTTTACACAATGAGATTACTAATGTACACAAGTTTTTTTTAGTATTTTCGCTTAAGGTGGTGCACATTTCTAAATATTGTGAGATAAATCACACATTGAGTGGCAAAGTGATTACTTAACCAACTAGGCCTAGCCATCATGATTCTCCTAACAGTTTAGTCGTAAGGGGGAGGTCATTAGGAGGCAAGTATTTGGTACTTTGCAAGGGTGGGAAGACTAAGTCCCAAAATTGCAAATCTAACAACTAATAACTGATTTTCGCCGATAAAGAAAAAAAAGTGACTGTGCCCTTAAAAATATCATAAACATTGAGATTTTTATTAAAAATACACAAAATGCAGTGTTGATAACACTGTATTTATCCTGTTAAAGGCTAATCTAAATAGGGAGTTATATATCAGTGTATATATATATATATAAGGTTAGGCCAATGAACAACCGTGGTTGAGTTAGAAGGTTGCTTGGATTAGGGGTTAGATTAGGGTTGGGGAGTGAGTTATGCTTCCTAGTGCTCCATGCGAATACCAGCTATTAATAAATTTTTATTCTAAGTCAACAAAGAGAAGATTTCTAAGAACATACCCCATGTGTTGTGGTTTTGTTAACAAAGCAAAAAGATGTGAGGGTTTGGTAGACTTAATTGTATTTTTAGGTAGAATTTTTTAATATGATCGTCAGCTCGTGCATGCCACCTCATCATCTCACCCCTTATTTCTTCAATTATCATTTTCCATTTTGCTATATCTATACTATTACATAAAAATAATACAACGATTTAGTATGATTTTAAAAATCTAAATTTCTAATTCAGATATTAAAATCTCTCACGCCTTGTAAACAGCTTGGCTGTCACAGTTTAGCTATTTTTAATCCGTATTTATATACGCACATTGTATGCTTGGAGTCAAACATTGTTTAGGCTTAGAATTTAAGAACAAATTTCGACATGATAAAAGTAGACATCCAGTTTATTAGTTGAATCACGATTATCTCCAGTCCTAGTATTTGTATGAATGGTAGGTTTTCATGGGTGTGGGCCCAATTCGGGCTCATCATAGTGATCCTAATTGTTCTTGTAACGCTCGTGAGCAAATTATCTATGAAAAAAAATTAGATTAATTGAATATGGATAATCACACGATCAATTTATATTAGTCTGAAAAAATGAATGATTCATTTTCGAATATTCACTATTTTAAAAATTTTAAAATGAAATGTAGTCCGATTAAGTAGCTTTATAATGTTTGATCAATTCAATTTTTATCATGGATGATCTGCTCAGTAAAATTTACAATTTGCTGCCTTGGATCACCAAAATAGATGCAAAGTTAACCTACAACCATGAAAACTAGACCAACCAGTCCAAAACTTTGACTAGAGTTGAGCTCTCTTTCTTTTCATTTAAGACCATAGAATACCTTAGATCATATGAGAGAGAGAGAGAGAGAATGGATGGATTGCAAAGGTCTGCAATATCATTCAGAAGACAAGGCTCATCAGGATTAGTATGGGATGACAAGTTCTTATCTGGAAAGCTGAACCAAACAAAGCCAAAAGATCATCAACAAGCAGATGAAGGAAAGAGAGATCACAGAGCATCACAAATGCAACGCAGTCGATCCAACAGAGAACATACATATCACACCGTTAAGGATGTTGGTCCCACAATCAACCCACCTTCTCCTAAGCTCTCTGCCTGTGGCTTCTGTGGCATGTTAGGCAACCCACAAACAACCCCAAAACTTAGATCAACCAAACGTAAGTCATAGTGTTCTTTTTTTTTTGGCCCTCTCTCTCTGTCTTTCAAAGATGAGAACCACCCAAGGCATATGATCTTGTGGACTCATCACTGTAGAGTAAATCCCGATTGTTTACGATCATTTGTAAATCACGAGTATTAGATAAACTCGGGAGACACAATAAGAATCGAACCTAAAAAGTTCAAATTTACGAGTTAGAGTTTGCTCTTTAACTTTTGATCTTTATGTATACATAGTTTTATGAGTAGAAAATGTACTTTTTCAGATAATTTGCCTTAATAAGAATTGATATGTAAGAGTTTATACAAAGCCCATACCATGACTACTACATGGTTGCATTTTACATTTTATGTTTTTTTTTTTTTCATTGTGTATATATATACACATACTTGTTTTTCATGTTGGAGTTTGAATCATGAGAGGCTATGTGGTGGTTTTGGAGTTATGTCTTCCTTACACAACTAACATTTTTCAAAAATTAACAAAAATATAATCGATTCCACTAGTTAAACTACCCGGGGGCACATAATTATTTACTTTGAATCAGAGTTTTGATGTGTAGAGGAGCTCAATTTGATTTTGAATATCTGTACCAAACGTCAGTTAAGGTACAATCAAAAACCTTTTCGGTTTTAACTAAAATAATAATCATAATAGGTTCTAATTTTTTTTTTTTTTTATTTGACCAGCAAAAAAAATTAATCTTTATTAATGCAATCAAGGAAAGATACATCAATAAAGATGAAGATTGGGGAGGCGCAAAAAGCAACAAAGCAAAACAACTTATCCCAACTAAATTGGCACAAGAAGAATCACACAATCATATGCAACACCTCCGCAACCAACACAATGACAGAAAAGAAAAACAGGGTTGGCAAGGCTCCACCAGAAAATGCAACACTGAAAACGCCAGAAAATTCTATGATGATTGTTGAAGGTGGGCTTCCATTTTCCCCCAACACATTGACGTTTGCTGCTCAAAATTAACTTCCATAGGGCTTTCTCATCCACCCCAAAACGCCACCATTTTGCTAATAAACATTAATTAACTTCTCTCTGCCTATTTTCAGTCATAATCAAAATAAAAATCATAAAAGGTCACAATTGAATCATTACTAACACCATAATGAGTTGTAACTGAGTATGTCTGTTGATTTGTTTTCTGTGGGCAGAGGAGATTCATAGAGGATTGTTGTCTGCGATAATTGTTGTCTGTTGTTTTCTGTGGGCAGAGGAGATTCATAGAGGATATTTGTTTTCTCATACTATGCATGCTGTTTGTTTCTGCTGTTTGTTTCTCTTATTTGTTTGTGGAATGGTGGAGTTACTGATAGGTATAATGTTTTATGGGTGAGTTATTGACAGCAGTTATTGATAGCAGTAAGGGAGTGGAGATCTTAGTACATGATGGTAGAGTTATTGACAGCAGTTGTCTTTGTTCTTCGGATTGCTGCTGCTGATCTGTGAGGTGTGCTGCTGGTCTGGGTGAAAAGGACTGTTGCTGATCTGATCTGTGCGGATTGCTGCTGTGAAGTTTGCTGCTGCTATGGATTTTGTCCTGTTTCTTGATGGTTTGTAGTTTTTTGGTTGTTCGGTTTGTATTAGGTTTGGTTAGATTGTACTGGGATGAGGTTGTTTGAGGTGTTTGTGGTTGGTTCCTCACCAACCATTGATGTTGTGCTAGCATATGATTAGGCGGTCTTATTAGTGTCAACCTAGTTGGGATTGATTTGGTTCGCTATGATACTTTTTGCACTCATCTTCCTTTTCTTTTTTGATGTAATACTTTTCTGTTTCATCAATAAAGTTCCTTTTCTTTGCTGATAAAAAAAATTGTGTTGTAACTGAGTCATATCTAATATCACAATAAGTTATAATCAAAGACTACAATAGCCATAGCTGTGCATATGGTATACATCTAAAAAAAGAGTGTGTATTATAGAATTTCCAATTTGATTAATATGGACTCATCTCGGTCTATCTCGAGAATACAAACCTTTAATCTTATAGAGCCTGCTGAAAAAATTATATATGTTAAAAAATCAAGTTGATTGACCATCGGTAGCCACATGATCAAACTATAAAATCATACAAAAAAATAAATGGTTTATTCTTAAAATCATACTTATTATCTATTTTTTTGACGTTATTATGTTGTCTGATTACATAACAACCAATAACTTATTAGCCTAATTTTTTTGCATAGATGATCATCTTTGTGAATCTTATAAAATGAATTGTTTGAATCAATGGGCCAATAGCATACCCTAGTTGACACTAGAGAAACTAAGTAATACTACATCAACTAGCAAATTTTAAAAATATTATTTTATTATTAATGTCACATTTGTTGTATTATTGAATGATTCATATTAAATTATTTAATGATTCATAAAAAAAATCCATCAGTCAAGTAAACAGAATTGGACGGATGGTTCAAATCGTAGCCAATTTAGAAGATTAGGGTTTAATTTGTTCACATTAAAATTACAAGGTTTAATTTGTTACATGAGTTAAACATTGGGTTTTATTATTATTATTATTATTATTATTATTATTTTATTTTTTTTTGTAATTTCTCCCAACTTCTATAACTAATAAATTATCTACTTATTTGTCAAACAAGAATTCTATAAATTAAAAAGTTGAAATTTATATCACAATGGTATTATAAAATTTATAAATTCAATTTCATAAATCTTCAGATCAAATTATGATTGGTCAAAAAATTGTAAGAACTCTTGAAAAACTAAAATAATCCTTCAAAATTTCTTTCGTCAACTTCATCTCACACTCACACCCCTTAGATTTTCCTCTTTGTCTTTACGGCTTTTCTAATTTTTTCACATCATTAATTTAATAATTTCCAGTTTTTATTAATAAAAAATTAAATAACTTATAATCTTCTATTTTTAATTATATATATATTATACATCCTAACAAATATATTTTATAATATATTTGTGGTCATCGTTTTACGCCCATGTGAGAAGTTTGATAGAAAATTTATTATTGGGGATTCATAGCATTTCCCTATTAGAATAGGCAAATCTGACAGCAAGATTGTATGCAATCACAATTAAATAAAAATGAATTATGTAAATAGTCGTTATAATTTATACGATGTGTCAATTTAATCAATATTATTTTAATTTATTCGATTTTATCCCTTAATTTAATAGATTATGTCATATTAGTCTAATAAATAACAGTCGTTAGGTTTGATAGACGAAAACTAAAACGGTGTGTCAATTTGGTCCTTATTTGATCCATGGGGACCAAATTGACACATTGAGTAAACTACAAAAACCAAATTGACACATTATTTGAGCACGTGATGACTTTTCGTCTACCAAACCTAACAGTCGTTATTTATTAGATCAATATGACACAATCAGTTAAATTAAGGGACAAAATTGAGCAAATTAAAATAATAAGAACTAAATTGATACATCGTATAAACTGTAAGGATCGTTTGCGTAATTTAAATTAAAAAAAAAAAAAAAAAAACATTTCTCAACCCATTACAATGGCCACCGCTGATATTTCACTTCTCATGTTGCTTAATTAAATTATGAAATTGATTTATTTGTATTTTGCTTTATCAGTTTAGTGTTGAATGATTATGATTATTAGAATATATATATTTACAAGCAAAGAAGATCCAATGAATTTTTTGCTATTTTTTCGTGAATTGATTGTGCTATTATTTTGATATTTTTATTTTTAAAAACGAAATCAAATGTGTGAACATTAAGTGGCACTGGTTTAATGGTTTTTTTTTTTTTTTTTTTGGAATGTATTTTTCCAAACTTTGATTATTTCAAGCGAATGTATTATTATTTTTTTCTCTTTTTTTTTTATTATTTTTTTTATTTTTCCAAATAAAGTCGATGTATTTTTTAAAACTTTAATTATTTGTACTATAGTCATGCAGTCGAGAAACTGATTTAAATGGAAAAAGTAAATTTATTGTTCTCACATGTATGATTTTAATTTGATAAGCTCAGCAACTAATTTCATAGTTATGATTTTATAGATTTAAAAAAAAAAAAGAACAATAATCATAAAAGACACTACAAAATTTCTAAAATTAAGGGTTTTTCTTTTTCTTTTTTTTGTTCATTTTTTATTTGTTAGTATTTGTATATACACGCATACAAAATTATTTATTATTTGACACGAGTCGAGTTCGAATTTATTTAAGAATCTATGCTAACTCAATCAACTATTCTCAATTATTGTTTAACCAAAATTTTTATGGTCAAACAATGAGATGAAGGGTGAAGGCAACATAACATTAGAGAAGAGAGGTTGTGTGTAGAAGTAGAGGGTCAACTTGGAGAAAGGTAAGGAAGGAAAGTTAAAAGTAAGGGTGGTTACGTAGCAGAGGTGTTTTAAATAAGAGTTGATGTGGTTAAAAGATGTGATGAAAATTGGGGAAATGATGATTGGTGAAGTATGGAGACTTGACAAGGATTGTCGAGAGAAATAGTATCGTGCTCTTTTGAAAGGGATAGCTGACAAGTCTAGAAATCAATGTATAACATAGTCGTATGTAGAATTATTTGATAAGGAGGACCAATTACAAATTTTACAGCAACTCATTTTAAATCACAAAATCCCGCATAGCTAGGGTTGGCCTTGGCCCTAAGGTGAGGCGACCAAGGCGGTCACTTCAGGCCCCCAATTTTGAACAGGATTTAGGACACCCAACTAGGGGTGTGTATCATGTTGTGTTATTTTATAATTACTTCAACATTAGCTCAATCCATTTATTCATATTATCGTATGGTATTATTTTGATTCATGTCCGATTGATGTTTACTGTGAAAACTTTTACTTAGTTAAAAATAACTTAGCAAGTGCGTGGCGTGATTAAATTTTTTTGCACAAGTTAAATTTTATCAAATTTATTTCTAGTAAATGAAATTATACATAAAATGTTTGATTTCAACTCAAATGCACTTTTCTAATCAAAAAAACCTTATTATTATATATATTTTTACTAGTTTGACTCTAAAATAAGTAACAAAAATGCATATTTTAAATGAAAAAAATATGAGTTTTTTTATTGATAAATCTCATTTAGAGGTGTTCCAATTCAAGAAGTCTACCAAGAAAAATTATAACTTAATTAATTTCATGTATTTATATTTTTATTCCATGAGATCCTTTTTTCCTGATTTATATTGTTTGTTGGACTATTATACCCTTATGTCTATTGTTGATATGTATTACATAGAAAAAAGATATATACATTTCCTTTATGTTACTACATTTATTCTGGTAGTTACCATTATTCACGTTTTTCTTTTTGATAAATTTCATTTACATTTGTGATATTGTTTAATTGTGCTAGGGTTTTGAAACTCTCTATTTGGTAAGGTTTAAAAACTCTAGTTTACAAATAATGGTGAAATAATATTATGTTCCTCCATTGTTGCGGTGAAACTTTGTGTTCCTCCATTATCACTTTGTGTTCAAAGTTATGTTTTTGTCCATTGTTGCTCTGTGTTCGAAACTCTATATTTCTTCATTATTGTAGTCGAAGCTCTGTTTATGTCAAGTCAATTTTGTTACATACATATTTTTCAAATGTGGGCTTGGTTTGATTTGGATTGGTGGAATGGTGAAATTGCATAAATTGTTAATGATAGTGATAATGATGAAGATGATGATGATGATGAAAATATGGGTGATAATTTTTTGTGTTTAGAGAGATTAAGTTTTTTTTTAGATTTCTAGTTCTATTGTTGCTGTTGTTTTTTATTTTTCTGTCAATCATTGTGAATGCTCACACTTCATATTGTTTGGAAGTCTGAGAAATGAGGGTTGGAATTTTGTGGAGTGAGGTCTCTAGTACAGTAATAAGGCTTTCTTTATAAAGAAATGAGGTGGATTTAGTTTGATTTGGATTGGTGTAATGGTGAAATTGTAGGAGGTGTTAATAATAGTGATAATGATGAAGATGATGACGAAGATAATGAAGATACAGAGGAGGATGTTGGTGATATTTTTTATTTTTTGAGAGATTGAGATTTTTGAATTTTTGATTATGTTCTTGTCATTGATTTTGATTTTTTGTTGTTGGATTTCAATGTAGCAATGATTTTTTGAGTTTGGTAATGTGTCCGATATAAAAATGATGTAAATGTTCATATTACTAATCAATGTTAATATTCACATTAATTTGAATTGAAAATTTGTCATTGTATTGTTAATTGGTGTTAATAATATTCACACACCCATATAATATTGAATAGTGAATATGTTTTCACTGTGTTCATTACCACTGTGATAAAAATGATGTTAAGGTTCACATCAACATTGCATCAAATTACACAATCACAAACCTTTACTTTCATTTGAATATAAATATAACGTGAATATTCATAATAAAAAGGGGGCAATTACATGATGTGTTGTCAATTACATGATATTGATATTTAATGTTGATTGTCATTACTAATAGCAATCACAATCACAAAAGAGGGAAAAATAGCATATTATCACTACTTAGAAATAAGAATGTTTACATGTTGTGAACGTTCACATTACTCTATTAGATGGAAGAGAATTTTCTGGAAAGGTGTTGTGAATGTTCATATCAGATGAGAGAGAATTCTCAAGGCGTTGAAGCCATTAAAGAACTTTCCGGAAATGTGTCTGTTTTATAAGATTATCAAATTTTTTAACAAGTTTGATGAAAATTGAGCTTTTTTGGTT